TGGGGGGGGGGGGTGGTGTCATGGTTTACATTTTGTTTTCATTTTTCATTTCACCTTAGATCCTTAACTCTGATCTGACATCAGCCGTTCTTCGACTTGTTTCTGTTCCTAAAGCTCCTCACAGACACATTTTTACTGTATCTCCAGTGAGGCAGAGCTCAACCAAGATCAACCCTCTGACGTCTGTGAAGAACATTGGGCTCAGCGGCCTGTCGGTCACCCAGTCAAAGATTCCCATCAACCCCATAAAGATGGTGAATGTGAGTACAGTCATCCTCTGCAGACACAAAGTATGCAGACTGTGAGCACGCTGACTCCTCATTGGTTGATATGATAAACACCTGAAGGCACCACTGAAGAAGCTGAATAAACCGAGAGAGGAGGAGCTGGAGGAAGAGGAGCCTGAGAAGGAGGAGTTGGACTGGTGGTCCAAGTACTATGCTTCACTGGAGGAGCAGGAGAAGCAGGTGAGATCCATATTTTACCCACCTGACCTGATTTAGTTAAGGCAATAAAGATGAAACCAGGTTAAAATAAAAGTATTGACACAGTGCAAAAGCCTTGACCCTTCCAAGGCGCTGACCCGTGAACGCTTTATTTAAAAAAAACTCCACCAAACTCAAGGGATGAGCAGCTTCTGTCTAAATACGACAACTTAAAACAAAACCTGTTTGTATTTTTTTTATTACTATCTTTTTACTTGGGCTGTGTCATAAAAACACGTATTTACTTTGTTTTAGTCCCATCTATGTAAATAATCTCAAACTAAAAATTTATCAGATATATAAGTAAAGTAAAGTGCAGTGTGTTGTCATCATTGTATGTTCTCATGCAATGGTGAAACTGGTTCTGTGTTTAGCCCATCACACCTGAGATACACCCAGGTGGAGCAGTGGGCAGCTATGTAGGTGTCCGGGGAGCGATTAGGGATAAGGTGTCTTGCTCAGAGACACCACGACATGTGATAATGGCTGGGAATCGGACCAGGGACTTACGGGTCCTGGGTCGGCTGCCATGCCTCTGCCCCATATAATCCTAGTCTTGGGCTAACAAGGGAATTACCAAAGAGCTGTGAGCTGAAACGTCGTCATATTTCAACATGTTGTGAAGAGTCTCTTTTAACAATTTGGTTACACTGACAAGTGCAGGACAAAAGAAAAGCAAAAGCAATTTAATGGATTAGTTTTGTTTCTTTTGTTTCTTTTAAATTAATGTATAAATAAAATAAATTAAAGAAGAAAAGGCCTGATATTCTGCAGATGAACAGTACAGAAAAATCACATTATTTTAAACATGTCATGCAGAAACACAAACATCACAGGGATTAAACGGGGCTGCCGTAGCTCAGTGGATTGCCCATCAGAGACCTGAAAGATTGACAGCTGCATCATCCTTCAATTTATATTTAGTGTACTGCTGTTTATTTACAGTATATAGCACCAAGTCACAACAGAAGTCATCTCAGGGCACTGAACAGAAACATTCACGTCCATTATAAAAGCCAGTTAGTAAAAGTTCTCAGATTGTGTGTTTTACTTGACGCAACCTGTTGGTTTGATGTATGTATATTTCTGCAGGCTGCTGAGAAGGAGCAGATGGAGGAACAAGCAGAGACAGGTACAGATTTACTCAGAGCTGAACAATGAGCTCATCTAGTTCCCTTCTAGATCAGTTGTTCATACTTGCGCTCACACAGACACATCTGAGGGTGTAGAAAACTCACAGTCCATATTACCGTGTTTTATTTACGCTATCTGAAAAGACGCTTGTGCCACATATGGTTTTACAGGGTTAGGGGGCTCGTTCATGTCCAGTGTTGATAAAGTTTTCTACTTTGAATAGATGGAGGGAATCTGTCCATGGCGAACATCGAGGAGGAGGAGGAGGAAGCTGTGATGGTTGAGGTTGAGCCTCCGAAACGCAAGAAGATTGCAACATTAAAGGTGGAAGTTAACGAGCCATTTTCTAGCATGTTGGTTATAAATGAGACCAGTGACCAAAGAAATATGAAAGCCAGCCAAACTTAACATGGTCCAACCTAATCGTTGTATGAATATATATATAATATATATATATATATATAT